TTCTCTCTCGTGTAGGCGACCGACCGCTCGCTGAGCACAGCCGTCATTACCCGCGCTGTCCGTTCATTATGGAGGAGGACGTCGGGAATGTGCCCATTGGTAGGGATCCCATTCGGGACGCCAAGCGAGGGCACGACGTTTGCGGTAATATGAGCGCACCGGAGGAGTCGGTGCTCAACTCGATAGCGGTCAACAGCGCCGGCGACATAAAGGCGACTAATATGAGTGAATACGGAGTGCAGCCCCATAACGGACCCAAAAACCCTAATTATAACTCCGTTGACATGAGACGCCGTTCCTATCAGAACATGTGTTGGGATGACTCCATACCCGTGAGCACCGATACGTTAGCGGAGGCCGGCTTTTACTCGATTGGTATGACGTTTATTGTGTTATTGTTTTGTTGGTTTTGCTAATCGTTTTTGGGTATTGCTTTGCGTGCCATATATTCAACGCGTGATTTGTTATCGCATTAGACGTGTGAAACGTTTTTGAAAATTTTAATTATAAAAACAAATGACTTAACAAAATAGATACTGTTTTCCGGAAATAATTGAGACTTTATTAGTGAGTCATTGGCGCCGTCCTATCAGCCGGTGGTGTAGATGTGTTGCGATAACGATAGCTAAATGATAGCGATTTGTGTTTTGAATACATGTCATGCGAATTGCATATTTGTTTTGTAAATAGAGATACGGTTTTTAATAATAGATTTATTTTTGTTGTCAACCCAGGAATGAGTGATTACGTGAAGTGTTTCTACTGCGACGGCGGTCTCTGTAATTGGGAGCCGGGCGACGACCCCTGGATAGAGCACGCGAAGTGGTTCCCCGACTGTCACTTCGTACTGCTGAACAAATCGCCGGAGTTTGTGGACGAGTGCCGCCAAATGGTGGCCAACGAGAGGCAGACAAACGCGGAGCTGAACAGCGACTCCGACCCAGAGATGGGTAGCTCTAGTGGTTACGACTCGGACGAGGAGATTGTGAACGCGTTGGGCGTGCGAGCGGTGGCCGAGTGGATGGGCACCGACATTGTGGTGCAAATGATGGATTTGGGCGTCGGTAGCATCGATGTGATCAAAGCGGTGCTCAATAAGAGATGGCACGCAGAGCGACAGCCGTACACGTCGTTCGCACAGCTGTACGACGCCGTCATCTCCGAGACGAGGAATGGACGCAATGAACACAAGTAAGGGTTTTATGAGTGGTTTGCTTTCGGATGTATTGATTGAGTTGTGTTTTTGTGTTTCAAGCAGTTGTCCAGTGATTGCCAACAGAATAGATAATCACAGTTCGGACGAACACTACAGCAGTGGTAGCGATGATGACTACCACTCGGGCGGCGAAGAGCCACCGCTGCCGTCATCGCAGTCGTCACTATCGTCGACCACATCGTCGTTATCCAACTATACGTCTTCGCCGGCGCCGGAAGTGGCGTCCAGTGATAGCGAGCCGACTCGCGTAGAGGACAGTCGTCTGTTGTGTAAGATATGTCTGGACCGCGAGATCGGAGTGGTGTTCCTGCCGTGCGGGCATCAGTTGGCGTGCACTCAGTGCGCCCCATGCGTTGCCGACTGTCCCATATGTCGGAAAG